TAGGTTTTTTATCATATAAATGCTTATACCATATCATTTAGAACTTTATCAACATTTTTATTTCAAAGCAAATTGTATTAGAATAACCAAATGATACATTTCTTTTGTTTTTATCAATTTTTTAGTACACGACTTTCTTATCTCTGAGTGTTCTAGGTTTATTCAGTATTGTAATGCTTTTAATGTTGAATACTAAATAAAGATACGATTTGTGCTATAGAGATGTTACAATTGACATAAATGTATGCAGATAGTACATTTATTTGTTATTCAAAACAACGAGGACAAATACTATATAGTATTGTAAAGTATTTGTAAAAGTTTGCCAACAAAGAAAACCTAGGGTTAGGGTTTATTTGTGTAATTATAACACATGATGCATAATGGCATCAGTAAACATCAGTAAGAGCTAATTATTTAATGTGAAGGTAGTACCAACTTTAGCGATTATAACTTTAACAAATACTGAAGATTATGATTGTGTTTATATAAAGTGGAATGAAAAAAAAAATCAAATACTCATCAAGGTTATTGTTTACGTTTTATACCAGTATAAATAGTAGACCTATATACTTTTTATCAATAATATGGTACAAAATAATAATAATAATATATTATATACAAAGAGCAAGACAATATTGAAAATATGTAAAATGTACGACAATTCCAAGAAAGATATAATTAAAGTGTTACCACCATTTAATGAGTGACCGATAAAAGTTTAAATAAATACATGTGTTTTAGGATTAGCAAATAAATATTGATACAATTATATTTTATTATGTTTATTATGTCAAACTTAATACTAATACATTTACATCTGAATATGTAGCAAAATATTACATTCCAACTTAACCATTACAGTTTCTGGAATCATAACTATACATAAAAACATTTTATTATTGAAATAAATATAAGATACAATGTATAAAATAAAATTTCCAAAAAAGCAATTTGGTTTTATGATATAAAACAAAACACTAAAATATTTTGCACATTGTTTTGTTGACCATCAAAATAGATATTCTATTTACATATTCATAAGTTCATTTTTTTCAGTAATGGGTTGTGTGTTTAATCTTACATCGCAACAGAAGAAGATACTGACTTATATTAGATACTTAAGTATACATAAACTGTTGAAAGAAGTTAAAAAAAAAAAACAACAACAACAACAAAAAGAAACCAGATCAAATGACCAGTGATTTAATCTTTATCGATAATTGAAAATTAATTGTTAGTCGAAGCGTTCCAATTCGATCTTTCAATATATATATGTGATCTGCAAAGATACATTTTCTGTAAGTCAGTATACTATTTAATAGTACATGGCTGTACATTGATATACAGCTTATCGACACAGCTCTTATGTGTTGATAAAGAAGAAGTGACTTTGTCCACAAACACAAAGATGTGAAGGTATGATAGATAAAAGATTTTCGGCCAATGAGCTGAAGTTGTTCTTCGGAAGTGTGTGTAAAATCCGGTGGGTTCTTTTACAAGAGTTAGAATATTACGGTACATTTTGAATGAAAGGGGAGATATTCTAGTTAAATAGCGATACAGTTTTAGAGTTTAAGATTGGATTGTCAGAGGTTCCAGTTGTGGACGGCAAAAAGAAGTTAAAAATATAGCGTGGTACGAGCTCTGGGAGGTCTAAAATAGTTTTGATGTCGTAAATTGTGTAATGTTTCATTCGTTGGAACTTAAAGGATTTCAACATGATAAAGCGGACCCAGATTTTAGTTATTTTATAAAAAAGAACGAGTTTGTTTTTGGTTAAATAATGAAATTCAAGGGATTCCCATCCTACATAGGACATGGGTTTGGTAATTGGCACCTTTTTGTTGTGCAACAATCCTCTTAAACAGCTGTCTCAGCCAAAACATTGTTTCGATAGTCACCTTCTCGTAGACCGGTACAGTTATCCGAAGGTTTCACCACCATATTCATATAGTGGACAACTTAAAAAAAATATTTTTTTTTCCAGTAAGAGGACGATCAAGCTGATATTTCAATATTTGCCATTACTGTGATACGTGTAAATAAATAAATGTGTGTGCTCCGTCTGAGATAGGAAGAGGAAAATACGCCCGATATGGCTGTGATGTGTAATTTCTTTTAAGAGCTTTTCACTATTCATCTCTAGTTTGGATAGGGCTTAATTGCCAGTTTTGCGAGTCAAGGTAAGATTATTTCCTGTTTTTCTTCCACCCAGCTGGAGAGGGTCAGCGATCAGAGTTAAGAGTGGTAGTATTAGTACAGGTAGGAATCAAATTAAAAAATCAGTTTATAGCTGCCAAGCCAAAGAGCGCGGCGAACATTGGCTTGTAAAATTGAAAAGCTTTTCATTTTAAAAAAAGAAAAGGGAACCTTTTGCAAAAATGTGTTTTTATGGGGTTTTAGTTATAATAGTTTTTACAACATTATCTATGGTTTGTAGTATTTTTAACCTTTACAAAATTGAGCTTGATATTGATCATTTGACAATATATAACCAGCATTCCCGAAAAATTCAGAACGATTATATAGAGGATATTAAATGAGTGTATGTTCAATACTGAATTTATTGCACGAGTTGAATGAATTATATTATGCTAGCCTCTGGCGAGCACAAATTTTATTTTATCCAACGAGTGCAATAAATTCAGTTATGAACTTACACGAATTTAATATTCTATTTCTCATATCCAACATAAAGACTGTTTAATGTGAAATAAGAGTCTTTTTTCATTGACGTACCTATAGTATAACGCTCACATTTAGCGCGTCTTTACACTATGTTTGTATAACGCTAATGACGTCACGTCAAAATATATGCACGGCCGTGCAATACCCTATTTATGGAGTCGCGAAATCAGCACGGGTGTGTGATAAAATGTTTTACGTTAGACATTTTAGAATGTAGTTATTTATATCTTCTACCAATTTTCATAATATTCGTAAAAGATTTACAGGGAAGGGTCCTCGATAATGTTGTTATGATGATTATGTTTGTTAAATTGTGAAATTGTATATTATTTGTATAGTTACGCTGTACATATTATTAAACTAACTTTAACAAGGAATTCACCAGTTTCAATTTAAATGCATCCGAAGTCCATCTGTACTCCATAATTAATAGTTAATCGCTTTCATTATTGGTCCTTTATATTACCGCAACCCTATCAGTTACTGCATCTTTAACCTAATGTATAACTCAAGATAATCATTTGATAATCATAATCATTGCAGCAAGCAATTAAAATCAATGTTATATAGTTATATTGCACACCAGTATTTTAAGTATGAGCCCCCTAATTGACACTATAAGAAACTATAACATTGACGAGATAGGTTAGTTATTTACCTTAAGGAACACCTATATGCAAAAATTTAAACAAACTTTACCGTATTGTTTACGAATTATGGAGATTTTTCTTAACTACTAGAAGGGCGCTTTTTCAGAAATGTGAAACTCTAAATATTATTCTATTATATAATCATTTATGAAGAACTAACTCTTTCCTTTTGAATATTGTTAAGAAAACCCCCCAATTTTTTAATATCTTTCAGCTAACAAATGTCACAAGCAAAATTATTGTTTCAAGTTTTTAAAGTTTGCCTCAATTTTCTTAAAAGTATATTTTTTGAGCTTGTCAAATATAAAATACTTTAACCGTCTAGTTTTTATTTTATTAGACTTTGAAAATATCAGGTACCATATTAATTATTTTGATAAAAATGGCATAATTTAGTCAATGAATACCGATACTAATTTTATAATAACAAAGAAACACTTTTTTTATCAAGAGTGACCCGAGAGACACACAAACAATTTGCAAGGAAAATAAAAAAAAAGTAAAAAAAAGTTGCCTCTTCTGGGGCTTGAACCCGCACCCCGTATTTTCAATGTCTGGCCTATATGATTATGTGGGTTATATTTTAAAAATCTATTTATAGATAATTTATATTTAGAAACAAACTGATCTTACTGGAATCCCGTAATCTATATTTAGCCATGGCTAAGTTGCATATGGATAGAAATATAAAATCCCCTATTCTTTTTGTAATGAGTAGATTAACAAATTGCACCACTTGTTGGTGTTACTCAACACCAAAATGTGCAAAATGTGTTGTTTAATTGTCTATATTTGATTTTAAATTAGATCTTTCAAAATTTTGGATATTGAAACGATAATAATAACCTTATCCTTATAACAGAGTTAAGGTAAGACCTTACATACGTCATAAATCTAATCTTTTAACAAATATCAACAAATATATGAAACTGTTAAAAAAACACAAAAAACATGTGTGTACTTTTTTCCATTGGCAATAAATGAAGCAGAAAAATTAAAAATGGCTTCTCTATTATACATCTAGTAAAAGTGGCATTTTATTTATAAAAAAAAAGATACAAATTTAATGTACAGTACAATAAAAAAGCCAGATATTTTTAATGAAGCTATGTATTCACACATAGTTGGAACCGCGGGCGTTAAGTTATATACATAAAGTATATATTTTATATATAGTAAACGAGTGCTGGATAGTAGTTTTTTTCTTGATGATCAAGGGGGATTATTTTATTATAATTTGACCATTATTAACAAAGCAAATGATCCGAACGCCTGTGGTCGGAACCCAATGGTGCTGTTCCACCGAACCGTGACACGAAGCTGGGTTGGTATTCATACCGTGTTGACCTGTATTAAGTACACGTATAAACGTGACATATCTAGTCTGTGTGTACTTAAAACTTTTTAATTTTACATTTACATATAGGAACTGAATTTAAGCAAAATTTATCTTTAACAATATTAAAGAATTTGATACATCGAACGATTTCATTGGACAAGATATAATTAAACTACGTATGATTTATTCGGGAATTATATAGTCAAACGTATTTCAGGTCTATATTTGTAACATTCGTTCGAACCAATCAAAACCGCGTCACCTGTTAAACTGTTTACCTTCATATAAATACCTAATATCGGGTAGTCATGTGGTAAATTTTGTCATGTGAAAATTTAACCCGTTAGGTATTTAAAGTTTGTTTACTGATATTTTGATTACGAAATGTTATTGAAAATTGCCGAATCATGCATTATGGCGAAATATTATAGTATTACGTGTTTACCCTAGATATGTGACCATTATAGGACATTCAAGTTTTTCTATTGATATCTTTTGTCCTTGTACTTAGGTCACTTATTCACAGCTCTATTCACGAAACACACATGAACTATTATCCGTGTGACTGAATCATATGGGGAACTTCAATTGCCAAATTCCTCTCTTTCTACAAATATTTCCTGATTTCAAAATGGCATTTTGTTTATTCAACTTTGTTTGTGCAGAGATCTTAACGCCCAATTTTGAAAGTTGATGAATTTATTCCTTAAATTGTCACGTAGAATATGATCCAGACAAAATAAATTTATTAAATCAACTAAGTTTTGGGCTAGGTTAAAGTAGACTTAAAATTCTTTATCATTAGTGTCCACTTATCTGTGTTTTAAGTCTAATCCTTTAGTATTCGTTACGCTGCGTACAAAATATTACAAAAAGAAAAATATAGCGTAAAATGATATTAAGTGCGTTTACACTTCATTTGACCTTTCCTTACTACTTTCTGTGACTGTATCTATGTTCAAAGTTTTACTTCTATTCCTTGCATTATTTTCTTTTATGATCCAGACTATAAAATTGAATAGAAATTGGAAAAGAGAGATAATTATAAATCGGACCTGGTAGTGTCACAGTTTTTCAGTCTGCTCTTCTCCTAGTCACCATATATCTATTTGGTTTACAAAGTTTATCTTTAATTAATGTTATAATGGTACCAGAAAGAGATGATTATAGTAAAATTTTGGCGCTACATTTTTCCAAGACATCATATTACAATACTTCAAGTTACTAAAATAATAAACTCCAAGAGATCTTTTTAGTTATTATCTGCATAAGAAATTGAGAAACTGAGCAAAAACAATTTTATTTTTTATTGTAAAAGATACTTTGTAGATAGAGTAATTGTCATCCAACTGTTTTTCTCAAAGAAGTGTGTTTAATTCAAGCGCTCCGCTCGCGCACAGATCTATATCGTTTGTGTATCGAAGTAGGAGTGTGCTATGTGTACATACATGGTACAATAAAACTCCTTTTTTCAACAAGGAAAACCACATATTCACATTATTTTTATCTCGTTGTTATATCTTCTTTTCATAATATACTTTATAAATGCTTATAAACGACGATTTAACTAATTTATAAGCAATCTCTCACCAAAATAAAATTTATAATCTATTCATTAAAAAACAAAAAAAAGTCTTATTTACTTTTGCAAAAAATATTTTGAAATCATTTATAATTATTATTGCAAAATAATTAAAATATTGTTGTGCATGTCACTGCACCATTATCAAACATCAATATTACAAGCGCTCGCTTCGCTTGCGCGTTTAAATAGTTAAAAAAGATAATTGCCTCTAATTTAATATTCAAGACTAATGAGGATTTTACCGTACATATAGCAACTTACATGTACTTACTGGCGTTTGTTGTGTATGACTGCACATATATTGTGTATAGCAACGATAAGCTTTAGAACCTGCAAACGTCACAAATTAGAACGTGCAAACAGAAAACATCCATGTATAAGAGATGGAAAAGCAGGGCCCGCCCTAAAAACAGAAAAACTAAATATTTTTACTTGATAAGTATTAGCTCATATGAAATTTGAATGCTTTGTTAACAATATCTTATTGAGAAATTGAAATAAAAACATCACTTTATGATAAAAATTCAATGTCTAAACTGTCAATAATTTCAAAAACGAAAGTATGTTAAACACAATGGAGGCGATAGGTTGCTTTAAGGTTAATATTATCAACTTATCTAATTGAATAACTGGTTAGCTCAGTAGGTAAGGCGTCAGTCAGCGTTGATGATGATGATGATGATGATGATGATGTTGATAATAATGATAAGACTATGTTATAGTACAGAAAATATTACCTCTATATATTACTCCAAGTGATTGTGTTTGCATTTTGCGAATGGTGCATCTTTTCTTACTTATGGTGCATATCAAAAAATATTTTACATCTGGTACCGAAAATACTGACATTTGGTGCAGGGCAAAACGGCAAAAAATTTCGTATTTGGTTCCGATTTTTTGACATATGGTGCACCATTTTACAAATGGTGCCGTTTTACATATGGTGCCGTAACAAACGACATAGGCATTTGTACTCGTATACTTAAATGATGTTTAAAACAATGATATAAAAGTAATCGAATAATTGAAGCTTAAAACTTAGTCAGACTATTATTTTATACTTTTAAACATACATGCTAAGTACGGTATTTTATGGATGACCTGAAATTAATTGGTATCTTTCAAAAAAAATATAGTAACTTATGTGGGAGCTTTATTTTGAAGCATATGGTCTACACTCAATTATATATTGTCTGTTTTATATAATATAATGTAATATTTTAAGAATATTTATGATGTTATGTATTTTATAGGTATAATTTTATTGTCTGTGTAAACAACAACATTAATACTCTTAATACTACAAAGATATATACTGACAACCTTATAAAACTCACTTTCAATGTAAAAGCTTTGAATTTGAATTTAATACTTACATGTTACTGGCTCTGTAGTATGGAATCTAAATTTAATAAGAATCTTCTAAACTAGACATTAGTGTTATTGTTTAATGCTGGTAGTATTAATTTTCTCAGATTCATAGAGCATAGTCAAGGTTTCTCTGTAATTACAAGATTTATTTTCATCGAGTGGTATGAAAATGAATATTTCATGAGTGGCGGTAGCAACGAGTGAAATATAATAATTCTCGTACCTCAAAATGAAAATAAGTCCTGTATTTATCGAAAAAAAAACTTGAATTTTCTGTTTATTATATACATTTTGATTCTATTTGAAGGCTTCCCCTTCAACTTTGAGTATTGGCTGACTTTAGAAGAAATAAGTCCATTGAAAATACAGGAAGAAATGTTGTACTGCAGTGAAAAGCAAATTGGACAGTGAAAATGAAAATACGCGTTTTATTTTATCAATACTTCTCAATATTTCATTAATAAGCATATTATAAATCGAATATTTAGCTTTTATCTAATATTGATCTAGATATAATGATATTATAAATTTAAGTTATACATAGACAATTTTATCTGTGTGTATTTAAACAACATTTATTTATATTACTTAAAAACGAAACAAAACAAAACAAAAAAAGCTTTAACAGCTTTTGTGTTGGTGGATACTTGTCTGACGATAAAATTTCAGTAAATATTTTAGAGGGAAGAAAATTTAAATAGTTCTAACTAAAATGTGTAACATAAATCAATGCTGGCAATAGGACTGTAAAGATGCCATATACATTTTGTATTGTAAATGTGATTATTATAAATACATATTCAAAACGTTTCAATATATTGATAATAGTAGTATATGGGTCAAGTGACCAATATACTACTGATAATGTATATATTTTTGTGTTTAATCCATATGTTAAAGAATTAAACCATAATTTTTGTATAAGTCTTTTTATAATTTGATACAGAATGGCGCCTTGTATTATATTGTTTATGTTTTATATATGTTTTGAATGTGATACTGTGTTTATTAACGAGACGTAAATAAAATATATAAAATAATACTGGTATTTACTGACGTTCTTAATTAGATGTTTAATTATTTTGTACCTTTTGTACCTTCAACAAAATTAATAGAAGCTGGAGAACAAATGCCAAGTATATTATGTAATGTTATAAAGAAAATTTTATTTGTTTTTTTCTCAATAATTTTCAGTTCAAACGTATTTGATTGCTTCAAGTACAAGTAGTTATATGTACAACGAAAACAAAAGAAAATAGATAACATCTAGTTAACTCAATTTTCTAAGGGCTATCGGTTGCAATACTTTAAATGTAGAACACGGAGAAATGATTTATCATACAACCTAACATTTTAAAGGCGTATACAATTCGATTTTATACCAATACTTCCTCCTTTTTAATTTTGAGAATGTTTTATTTTAAGAATTTTAGTCTCGCTCTAGGAATGGTCAGAGATTGTACTACAGATATATGTTATCTCGTAAATAACAACAGCAATCGTTGTTTTATAAATTTATTGTATAAAATGAGCTGATGATTTTTTAACAAACAACAATTATCATCAGTAACAATATATTGATGTAAAGATAAAAACAAAAACAAGATGGCTTCGGATTTGAAAATGAACGTAAAGGAATTAAATCGTCACATAGTAAATATGTTAAGTAACAAGACCCACATCATAACATAATGAACTAAACTCTAAATACATGTAACATTTATATAATCAAAATATTTGATGAACACATGATGGCACTAGGAAACAAGTTAATAACAAATTCAACATCTATAATTTTAACAAAAGTACTTATGATAAATTGAATATCAAATTTTGTTCATGGCAATAAGACACATATTTTTTAATTAATTCTTATTAACATAGTGTACAAACGCTAAGTCTTTTTGGAAATAATGTGCAAGTTTTAAAATACTTTGTTGGTGAACTATCCGAATGATTAAATAATAAACTTGAATAAAATAGGGAAAGACACTTGTTTGAATTTTATAAATGAATATCGACAAACTGAAAAATAATTGTTGAAATGAATATGAACATATATACACAGTATATACAAAAGAGTAACACTTTATTATGGTTCAATCATTCAAATGAAAACATATGTGCACCAATGAAAACCATCTATTGTACGTTTGATATCACAATATATTGCCCTATAACAAAAATTATCCTATACAATTGATGCAAAATAATAACATACTAAACAAGATTAACAAAGACTATTATAAACATAAAAATGTATGGCGTTTCCAAGAAGAGAATCATAATTATGGTTAAGCAGGTTGGCAATAATGGCAAACTTTATGAATTGTATACTCAGAATGTAGATACATTGAAAATTAATAATGGTAGAAACCTCAAAATATATGGAGTTATGGTTAAGCAAGTTGGCAATAATGACAAACTTTAAAGATCCTGTAACACATTATTTTTATGGTTTTATATACAAATTATGATGCTCAAATTAAGATTTATCGATATTGTAAGTTTCAAAAAACATCATTTATAAAGATATTACCGAATTTAATATTTCATGTAAATAAAGGGAGGTAATTAGAATTTAGTTTTCTATAAATTCTAAGTCAATTTTTCCAATAAGAAATGAATGCATATAATTTAATGATTACCTTATATATGTACAAATATTTTCAATACATATTTTACATATTCTTCCATGTTTGAAAATTGACAAATTTGCATAATTACATACATATATAATTCAATGAAGAGTGGTATGCAATCTCAATTACAAAACATACAGGATCTTTAAGAAATGTATAATATATATACTCAGAATGTAGATACATTGAAAATTAATAATGGTAGAAACCTATCAAATCGTTACATGTAAAAGTTAATTGAGCACTTTTCTGTGGATAATTAATATAAAACATTTGTGTTTATAACAACTTTGAGGTATTTAAAGTATCATTAACATATAAGAAGTACACGACTAGGATTTATATAAATATATTACAACTTCGGTTTTACTGTTTGTGGAATCATAACTATAAGTATGAACATTGTTGTCTAAAATCCTTCCCTGATTGAGATAAATGTCAGACATTAAATATTTTTTTCCCCCTGAATCGGAACAGCACATGTGAATGTAAAAGGACTTGCAGTCTTTTATAATACCTTTTAATCAGAGTCTGTTAAATCTTCTCCATACCCTGCCCCTGCAGCAGCAAGGATCAGGCAAGTGTCTTCATGATCTCGAATACGTGCAATGTCAAATGGTGTGCTCCCATCAAAGGCCCTTGCATTTAAATTACAGGAACGATGCCTTAACAGTAATTTGACTAGATTTAAATCACCAGTAAGGCAAGCATTGTGTAGTATTGTCCGACCTGTTTTTCCTTCCTTGAGGTTAACGTCTATGTCTTTGTCCAGTAACATACTAACAATATCTAAATGTCCGTGTGATGCAGCTAAATGAAGGCAAGTTATTCCCTCATAGTTCTTTATGGATAAATCCTGTGGAATTGTTTGGTATGGTATATCATAAGAATTCTGTTTGATTTCATGATATCTGACAGGCTCAAGAAGATTTTGCACATTTTTGTGTTGTCCTTGGCGACATGCAATGTGCAATGATGTATTTCCGTCCTTATCGCGCTTATCTACTTCAGCACCAGCCACAATTAATCTTCTAGTGACTTCTGGCTGATTAGTTAATACGGAAAGATGTAGAGGTGTTTGAAATAAAACGTTCGTAAAAGACAACCAGGTGTTTGATGGTGCTTTACCAATAAACACCATTGCTAATGTTACCTCACGTAATATAATGGCTATATGTAAGAGGGTATCTCCATCTTTATCCCTTAAATATATTCTAGAAGCGTCAATGTTTGCTGCCACATGGCCTCCATGATTTCCTTCAAATGATTCTAGTTCGTTGAGACGTTTCATCGAACCATCACCAATCATTTCTACAGAATCAAGTTGTTCACATAAATCGTTGATATCTCTTTGGCTCTCCCTATAACTCATCTTTTTATTTACTCTGGAAAACACTGGTGCAGTATCAGGATATTGCTCTGTACCGTATGCAGTGGTTTCAGTCATAACGCATCTACCGTGATCAGTGTTATAATTAACCTGATTTAAACTGTCCATTTTCATTGTACAGTGAACAACGTCTGGTAAAAACCGATTCTGTTGAACAAAATGTGTGTTGGGGTAACTATATGTGCTGTTAGGAACTTCGTCTTCGTTCATCATAGTCATGTTGACTGCCTGAAATAATTAAGACATAAATACTACATTAAAACATAAATGTAAATTGATTATATTTCTAAAATCACTCAGAAGAGTAATCGAAATGTATATAAGCATATTCATCTGTCTATCTGTACTGCTATTAGAGATAAACATCCTGAATACCATTTTTACTATTAGAGAAAATTAATCGAAAATTTAATGAACGAAATTACAATTTTTGTAAAAGAAATTTTAAAAAACCAAAATGCTAAAGAATGTGATTAACGTACCAGTCCCCCCGTGATAACGGGCATTGTTCATTATTTGAAAAAGGAATAAAAAAATTTTAAAAAATTTTTTTTTTGTCATTTGCTATATCACAAAGTTTTAGGAATGAAAGTTAAAACAAGGAAAAATTTAAAAAAATATGTTTACATAAATAAATGATAAAACCCAAATTTCGAAAAAATCGATTTCAAAAATGAACAAATTTCTTTAAACAAATACGGCTAAATAGGTATATACTAATTCCCCTTTAAACAAACGTTACAAGAAATAATAAGTGGTTCAAATTTAATTTTGTCCAATGATGTCACTCCATTTTTAATCAATTATTTTGGGACCAATTTGTTATTTAACATCAGAGTATCATACTTGTACAAATATAAGCTCTAGAAACATTTGATTCACTAATCTTGATTTACAAAAATATATACCAAACAATGATGAAATATACAAACGCCTTCATTACAAATCACGACATTTATTTAGGCCTAAATTTCTACTATTTATTCCTTTTAGATAAAATAATATACGTGTGTATATTGAAAAATGTAAATGGAAATTTTATAACCTTCTAAATAACAGTCATAATTATTATTAAAATAAAAGTTAGAAATGAATTTAAAAGCATTTACCTTTAACATGTAATCACACGTGTTGCATATTAACGAATGTTCACCATTATCTAGGACACACTATTTATACCATTTGGATGACTCACCGTTTATTTATAACCCGTTGATATCACGTGTATTTATTTTTTGGTCAAAAGCTTTCTTAATGAAACAACACGTGTGTGTAAAAATATTACATTTATGTCTGCTAAATTATTGAACATAAAATGTAGTTTTAAGTTACTATGTTACACGATTAATGAATTCAATATGCATCCATCTTTAATAGCACATTTTATTAGCAGAAAAGTTCGTAATTTCGTAATTTGATAATTGAATAAGGTAGGTTACAAAATAATTAATTATAATATCACTTTATTAATATCTTTACACGTATATACTTTTTGAAATGTGTATGATGCTCGAAATGCTTGCTAAATGACGTCTTCTGACCTGCATTTTATATAGCATTAGCGTCTATTTTTAGATTCGGTAATGGAAAGCCCAGAATTGTCTATAAGCTTGACTTTTAATAAAAAATACAATTATGAAGTTATTAAGTGATAAACGATAACTGCAATAACAGATTTTTTTATATTGGTCAATTTGGGTTATATGGTAGATTTGTTGATCTTTGTCAAATATTAATACTATACTGTTCATGTTATCTGTATTGTATATATGTACATTTGCGTCTAAGTTATTTTTATCGCGGTTATTTTTAGCAATTTTAGAAGTTCATTATGCAATATGTTACAACAATTTTGCAACCCGCTCTCGGTCCGAATATACATTTTTGTTTGAACATTTTAATTTACATTTCAAAAGATACATTAAGAGATTTAATGTTATTTTTTAAGATGGCAGCATTTTAAATGATATTGATTTGTAAATATCATTTGTGTTTAAGGGAACACTAATCTAGGCTGAGTTAGCGTTTTTGTACCGTATCAGTAAATCAAAGATTTTTTTTGTTTCTTTAACTTTATCAAGTAGATATGGATTTACCTTATGCCGTTTAATTTTCGGTGCAGATTTGTAAACTACCAGTTTCTTCATGTAAACGATAATTGCAAAACAACTCAGGAAATTTAATAAAATATTCTTAAATTAATATTCTACTCAAGCTTTATCGTTTGGTATTTTATTATAATGAAGAAAAAGTCAGTAAAACAAAAAAGTTTTTTTCTAATTTCATACGCACACGTCAAGTATATAACTAAATAAATTAAACGAGGCATTCCTTACCAGCATATTTCAATGTGTAGTTTTTTTAAACTACCTGTTTCTGAACGTGTACTGTTTAAACGATAATCGCAAAACAACTCATGAAATTTCATATAAATTGCTTAAATTGATATTCTTCTCAAATTTATTTTTTAAATGCTACAATATTGCTTTGGTATTTTTTAATTATGAAGAAAAAAGTCCCTAGATATATAAAAGCACGAATAAACGGTGATATTATATTTGAATTACTTCCGGGGAAAATTTAATCAGGTAGTGATTTAAACGTGTCTATATATACAAGTATATCATAAGACTTGATATTATTAGTTACCTCTCTGGCGTGGGTCCGATCCCCGGGGGATGCTTTGGTAGTTTAGCGCGGAGGAAGGTAGTCTAGTACTGGTGTAACTCTCCAGGACCGATGGTTAGGAAACTTCCCGCCTATATGACTGAAAAACTTTTGGGAAAAGGTAAAATGAAACAAACAAACAAACAAACAAACAAACAAAACAAACAAACAAACAAACAAAACTTGACTATATCCCTGTAAACATGCATTGGTTGGGCCAACCACGGTAAATCGTCATAGGAAAATCGTTGTTGGGCCATGGTTGGCCCAACATTAATTAACATGTACTATAAATGCAGTTGTTGGCCCAACGTCGATCCAACCATATGTTAACGCCAGCGACATTTCTGCATTGGCCCAATAACGATAAATATGTACTTTAAAACAGATGTTGGGCCAACGTTTGACCAACGATACATTTTCGTCAAATATATTACTGCACCTGACCCAATTTTTTTTTTAAAGACAGATTTGCATGTAGATATTTTACTGTATATAAACAGTACACTACAATGAGTAAAGACTAAAGTTTATAAAGTTTTTGGAAGCCATGTTTTAATATTGTCACATTCAAGAAATACTCATATAAATTAAATGAGAAATGTAAGAAATAATTACTTTGTGAGTATAGAAATGACCATAACCCAGGCTATGCAGTAGGGGATAGATCTATAGAAATCTTGAAGATCTGATGTATAATCTAAGGCAATAATACATGTGCTGGAACAGATTAACCATCCTAAATGTTTACAATAAACCTCCGGAATCTTCCACTCTAAACTGTAATTAACCTCTGGTTATGTAATCAATGAATGCAAATAGGATCATTTTGGCACTATACCCATCCTTTCCCTCGCTTGATTTCGAGCTGCATGGACGTGTTTACAGATAGATCTAAATAAATTTGTAATAGACTGCAATTTCTCAACACTGTAAAATGTAAGTAGATCTAGAATTTTTTACTTTAATCTTTTAAATAAACCCTTCTAATATATTTTTGTTTTTAAACCTGCACGGAATTAGTGTTTTAAAACCTGTTATACTATCCACGTGACCAGGTCATGTGATTAATACAAAATGGCGGATTGGTAATGGAAAATACTTTGATGTTTTCAGGTAAACAAGCCGGATTGAATTTGACTTTTGTAATGAAATTAAAACCATTTAATTATATCAGTGTTTATCAGCTTAAAATATGATATGTGCATAGTTTTACATTTGAATTTATTGTGATAAATGCAAAAAATCTTTGATAAGTTGCAAGTTAGTATAAACTGACAAACTGCACTTAGCACTTATTAACTTTAACCCTTTCGCTTCCAGAGGGTTATTGTTTTATTAATCACCTATTTGCCAGAGGGTTTTCTAAGAAATTACTATATTATTAATTAATATAATTATTATTATTTGTTATTAGTACTATAATAATTATATATGTTTCAATCTGTGAGTATAACAGTTGTATAATAATAATTTTCTTTATATTTATTATTATTTTTATTATTATTAATTTATTATTATTACTGTTATTATTATAAAAACGGATAAAGCCGTCCATATGGCAAATACGCCGAAAATAACAGGGATGGCATAAGTCGTCCCTATGGCAGTGAAAGGGTTAAGCAGTGTTAAGCTCATACAATCTGCTCTGAGTATAAATAGGTAATTTATATTAATATGTTTGGTTGTGGTAAACGCTACACAAGTGATTCATACTGGTCACTGAGGAGAAGGGTGCTAAATTCTGTTGGTGCTCATTTGAATGACATTTCAAATGCACCAGGAAGCACTTTAGAAAATACTGATCAGGTTCCTATATCTGACAGTCATTCGTCAAATGCTCCTGAAATTACTGTCCAGTGTTGCGATGATGATGCTGCTAGTTCTTATAGTTCTTGTGCAATTCAAGAATCTGCCGATTCATTAACAAGTGATGATGACATTTCATCTTCGGGTGTTGGACAGGTAGATGATGGTGAGGTTCAATCTTTCAGAAGTGATCAGTCAATGTCTGAGTCTGGTGCAGGTTCAGACACGTCAGATGATGAATTTTCAGCAGAATACCTAGCTGATGAACTTGCAAATTGGGCACGCCAATATAATATTACAGCTATTTCTTTATCAAAATTATTAAGTATCCTTAGAAACGTGTTTCCTGAACTTCCAAAAGACCCTAGAACGCTTTTAAAAACTCAGATGAAATATGAAATAATTGACAGAAGTGGGGGTAGTTATTACCATTTTGGCATAAAAAATGGTATCCTGCAAAAGTGTAGAGTTCTAGAAGTTAATCTGGAAGAATTTAATGAAGCTCACCTTCAAATCAACATAGATGGATTGCCTATTTTTAGGAGTACAAACCATCAATTTTGGCCTATTCTTGGACGTCTTGTAAATTTAAAGAATAGTTCACCTTTTCTTCTTGGCTTGTATTTTGGTTTATGCAAGCCAAGTGACGTTCACTCTTATCTGCAGGATTTCGTAGCAGAAATGCGTGATTTGCAAGAGCATGGTATTCTGTTTGATGGTCATCATATTTCAGTGTCCTTGTCATCAGTAATATGTGATGCTCCAGCTAGGGCCTTTGTAAAAAATTGTAAACAGTATTCAGGCTATGCTGGTTGTGAAAGGTGCACACAACATGGTGATTGGGAGGGCAAGGTCATATATCCTGCAACTGATGCACCAGCAAGAACTGATGTCAGTTTTAATGAAATGATTGACGAGGAACACCACAAAGGACCATCTCCATTTGTGGACATTGGGTTGGGAATGGTATCTTCATTTCCTCTTGACTATATGCATCTGGTTTGTTTAGGTGTGATGAGACGATTGATTTTCCTTTGGCTTAAAGGCCCACTTAAAGTGCGTATTGGTACACAGGCAAAGAATCGTGTTTCTGACTTGCTTGTTTCGGTTAGAAATTCTATTCCAAGAGATTTTGCCAGAAAGCCAAGGTCTTTGAATGAAGTTGAAAGATGGAAAGCAACTGAGTACCGGCAGTTTTTGTTGTATACTGGTCCTGTTCTTTTACAAAATAGTCTGCATAAGTCATTGTATGAAAATTTCATGTTGCTTTCAGTTGCTATGCGCATTCTTTTAAATGATTTTCTTTGTCAGCATTACTTAGATTATGCTCAGAATTTGCTTAAAGCTTTTGTTGATCATTTTGGTCAGTTGTATGGACGGGACCAACTTGTTTACAATGTGCATAACTTGATTCATATATCAGATGATGCTAGAAAATTTGGTTGTTTGGACAAAATTTCTGCATTTCCTTTTGAAAATTACTTATTTCACTTGAAAAAAATGATCCGGAAGCCTTCATTCCCATTGCAGCAAGTAATCCGTCGTGTCTCAGAAAAAAATATTGAAAAAAATGCTAACAAGTATCCTGACTTAAAAGGGGAACATGTTAACGGCCCCTTACATGAGCAATGTCTTAATGGTAAACAGTACACATCTGTATCAACTGAAAAAATTTACATCAGTTTAAATAAGAATGACTGTTGTATCAGGGTCAATGACCGAGTAGGTCTTGTCAGAAATATTATAAAAAGTGATGAAATAATTTTTGTTATATATGAAACATTTCAGAAAATGGAGTCCCTCTTCATGTCGCCAATAGATTCTGAAATTCTAGGTATTCACAAATGTTCAAATATTCAAAATGAGCTACATTGTGTATTGTTGGCAAATATTCAATGCAAATGTGTACTCCTTCCATATAAAGATACATTTGCTGCACTTCCCTTTACCGACACAAGTTTCTGAATTTCTGAAAACAAACAATTGTGACTTTCATGTACCAAATACAAAATACATGGTTCAATTATGTTGATAATGATCTGCAAATGGTGATTATTTTAGCATTACAGCAGTTTTATATGGCTTTCAGAGGGCTAATGTTTTACTGAAAAATAAAAAAGAAGTTCAACATCTTTTTGTAAGAAAACTAAAGAAAAGTAGGACACTTTTTGTAGCTTGAGTTTTAACAGGTGCAAGTTCTTCTTTATTGCTTTGTTGTTTAAATTTGTAACATACATTGTGTCTACATATACATGTACAGTGTATAAGCAGCTGAAACTAATTGTAAAATACAGTTCTTTCTTTTTTTCACTAAATGTTTGTGTATAATGTGAAACTATGTACATATCAAATTTTCATTGCTTGTAAACAAGATAGATTTAAAAAAGAAAGAAAAGAAAGAAAACATTATAAGAGAAAAGTAATTTTTTCAGGCCAAAATTTCATATAGTTGAATTTATTGATGACAAAGAGGTAGCTGTGGTACCCTCAAACTGGCTTGTTGGGAAAACAAAGTGTCTTTGGCCAACATGGAAGTCATCAGAGAAGATTATGAAGGCAGTAAAAAATGCAGTTTCACCTGACAGCAGTTTCAAAGAATTCAACATTGATATTATGTATGACTCAGGTAAACCCATTTCTGTTATTAATTTAATATTTTTATTCCTATTGTTATGCACTAAAGCACTAAAATGCACAATTAAATTCCATAGATTAATTAACTACTTTTTAATCAAGCCATGTTTAAGTGTATGAAAGAAATTCAAAGAAAATTTAAGCTTATTCTTGTCTTGTTAACTAAAGGTTGATGGTTCTACCCCAGTACATGCATGAACTTGAAATAATAATGCATCAAGGGGTACCTGTAATCTTCATCAACCCAGCAAAATAAATAAATGAGCCGCGTCATGACAAAACCAACATAATGGGATTGCGACCAGCATGGATCCAGACCAGCCTGCGCATCCGCACAGTCTGATCAGGATCAATGCTGTTCGCTATCAGTTTCTCTACTTGTAATAGGGTTTGTAAGCAAACAGCATGGATCCTGATCAGACTGCGCGGATGGTCTGGATCCATGCTGGTCCAAACCCATAAAATTATGTTGGTTTTGTCATGACGCGGCTCAAATAATAATTATGTAGAATTTAAAAGCAATTAAAAGCACTGCTTCATTTGAACAGATACTTATGAGAGGGCAAGAGAAAAACTGAAAAAAGCTGAAATGGAAACGGATGTCAATACCACAGATGCTGAAGCTGACCTGACAGAAAAAAGGAAACGAATGTAAATATATTATGCAATTTTATTCAGTAGATAGGTATTTATGTTAGGGTGGTTCAAATTGGAGCTATTATGCTTTGGTATATGGCTTTAAAATGAAGCAGACATGTGCCTATTAGTCAATGTATTTTAAGTTATGGCACTTTTATTAGCTTTGAAGTATTTCAATTATTGTAGACTGTATTACTTCTTCCTTACCTTTCAATCCAGTTCAAAGAAAACTTTGTGTATATATAGAGAGAGATTGGGGGGATGCTTGTTCACCACAGTAAGCTAACAGCATGAATATGTCAGTAAAATACTAATTTATAATTCAGAATGTAATATGTGACAAATATGGCTTTGGTCATTAAAGTGTTTTCTCACTGAATTAGATCAGTAAGGTACATGAAGACCATCCATAGGTCACAAGTTTTATTCACAGAGAGATCTGCATGGCAAAGGCAAGAACTAATGCCATATTCCTGTATATAGCCTACGTACATTGAGTTTTGATCATGGAATCATTTTACCGCCTGAAATTAAGTTTATGATTTATATATAATGTTATTTTATTATTTTATCCAGCCCTACTACACGTTATGACACTTCGGACAGTGAAGGCTGGCCATCTCCACCCAAAAAAGCCTGTGTCAGCCCAGACAGAACGGTTAAAATTGTGCATAATGACAAATCAAAAGAGAAGGGTACGAAAGATATGTTGCCCCGCTCTCCGGTAGTCATTCCTCCAAAAAGTGTAATAGGGTCAACATCAAAGACCACCTTATTCTCTGCTATTGAAGGAGAAAGAAGGAAGGATAAGACACCAACTTCAGGTCCATCTGGTGAGTTTTAGCATTTCATGGAGCTTATTTTATCATGCATAGATGAATTTTGATGCAATTTAGTATTGAGGCAACCTTGATTCCTTTGCTATTGCTAAATAGTTTAAATTGTAACTTTTTTATTACTTGCCCTTCCGAAAAATTGAGGCTACTTTTCTGTGGCACATCATGCATATTACACCCATCTGTAGGTGTACTGTACTGTAAAAAGTTGTGTGTGGTCTTATATATGTTATAATAAACTTTGTAAACAAATGGTTAGAAAAATTCAATAAGCCAATTCAGATGCTATTTTGAATCAATGCTTATGATCTAAGTAGTAAGATTAGGTATATGTAAGTTCTTTAGATAGCTGACAGGCTCAACAGGTTGTCCATTGGCATCAAGTTAGCATATTGATATATTTTCTTGAGGCCTCCATGGCCGAATGGCTATGGTCACTTACTTACAACCACTTGCCTCTCATTTAGTGATTTACTTGGGTTGGAGCCTCACTTGGGGCATGGAATTCTTTATGTGAGGAAGTTATCCAGCTGGCTTGTGATGAAATATTTCAAGGAGGGGCATATTGGGGTCTTCCTAGGAGGAAAGCTTGAAAAGTCACTATATAACCTACAATTGTGCTGGTGTGATGCTAAACCCAACCAAGAAAAAAAATGTATTTTTTGTTTCAGCCACTGATCTAAAGATTCTTCTTTTATTAGAAGAGTTAAAAAATGAAGCTAAGCTTCATACCAAACTGTTGCTGAAACTTGGTCGTCAGACAGAAAAACAAATATCGATTCCAAGTTTGCCTGAGGGAATCACCTTTCCAATATCAAATTTGAGTCAAATGGAGAATATAGAGGAAAAACTGGCTGATGAGGAAGTTGTTAATTCACTGGTTTGTACTTTTTCATGTCAAAAGTTGAGATAGCACTAATTGTTTCATTTCACATTCAATATATCCAGCTACTGAAACAAGACTAAGGTTAGACAGCCGTTAAACATTATATGATTATTTCATATGTAATTTGGGAACAGTCAAACTGTTGGCCCGAGGTGGAGGGGGTAGTGTATTGAACTGTTGCCCAAGGCCGTAGGCCGAGGGCAACAGTTCAAAACACTATCCCGACACCGAGGGACAACTGTTTGACTGTTCCCAAAATCACATATGAAATAACTGTTTTATTACCTGATCAATTACTGTTTTAACAGTACTTGCAGAAGAAAAAAGGAACAAGAAAATAGTTTTGCACATATGTTCATAATTAAACTTAATACTTTATGTCACGTCACGTCTGGTTCATGATCAAGATCGATGGACGCTTCAAGTGGGATCCTCTATGACGTCAGTGACGTCAGAACACGCGAGGGAAACAGTCGAAACTATTGACCGGTCAACAGTTTTCGAACGTTGACGTTTTTAGAATTTCAGAAAACAGTAAAAAATACCAAATTACATTTATATAAGGTATCAGGTAATAAAACCACATAGATTGTATTTTTATACTTAACAAAATAATTTATATTGAAACTGTGTTTTAACACTTTTAATGCACTGAGGGCATTTATAAGCTGACTGTTATAACTTCATGAGTATGCAGCTCAAGTGAAATTATTCAGATTGACATATAACCGTCCAAGTGCATGAACATTTTTAATGTTTTGCTATATTTTATTTAGTAATTTTTATGTATTTTGTTTGCTAAAATCAGATGAATATTATCGAAATGTTTCTTTTAAAACACTCCTTTACGGTAAAAGATAATTCGTCTTGTGGAAGAGTTTAGTTTGGACAAAATTGATAATGAGTTATTTGCAAACTTCTGCTTTGTTACTAGACTTTTTATCAGTTACACCACTCATTTTAGTAGAGTGTTTTCGAAACTTTGTGTAAATTTAATTTGAAGTGAAACTTCGCATTAAACACAAATTACTTTACCCCGACTGCAAAAATTGTTTTATTTCATTTCAGACAGCAAATTTATGTCTAGTTGGAGGAGATAGTGTGGAGAGTAATGTTCGCCGTGTAATGTCACACACTTTGTCACAGGAAGTTGCCCTAGAGTACAACTGGGTTGGAAAAGGCGCGAAAAAAGCATTTGAAAAACTTAGATTGAAAAAAGTCATATTAGGTTTGTATTTTTGCTTTTTCAAAGGTGATTTCACCGGTGCTAGTATATGTTATTTTGGTTTTAGAGTGATATATGAGATATATTACCTGTCAAGATTTTATATCACCCGAGCACTTAGGCGAGGGTGATATTTTATCTTGGCAGGTAATATATCCACATTTATCACTCCAAAACCAAAATAATAATTTTATTACCCTTCCCCTGCCGAGTTAAGACAATTTTAAAATAAAACATTGCTACTTCAAATGAAACGTCGAAATAAGATTCCCTTTAGGGTACCCCTTCATCACTACATGACGTCACATAAATACATGACGTATTTTCTTTTGAACCTTAAAAATGTTAACAAGAGAAAAGGAGTAGTCTGTTGAACGCACTTTTTTGGAATTAATATCAAGCTTTCACAAGGTCATATTTGTTTTCAATACTGATGAGAATAAGCACATCGCCACAGCACATGTTGTTTAGAACGTGGGGTACACAACCGGGAAATTTGGTGTGTATATTACCCGTCTGGCTTGGTAATATCAATTTCATTCGGGTGATCAATATCCAATCAAAAAGGCAGAAAAATCTGGAAGACTAATAAAAAAATTATTTTACACTGTGGGTGTAAGATATGACTCTTGTTTTGGAAATGATCATCATAACTCTGTTTGTATTTTGACAGAATTATGCCCCTTTTTAACTTAAATATTTAAGGTTAAAATTTTTAATTATGTCAAATATCTCTGTTACTATTAAATCTATTGACTTAAAATATAGAATATTTCTTTACTATCAAAGTCTTATAACCCTTTAGCTCTGTTTGCATTTTTTCAGATTTATGTGCCTTTTAACTAGTAAATTCTAATTAGCAGTGTATATTTAAATAAAATCAGTAAACTGTATAAATTTCAGATGCTGTTAGAGGAAGTAGACAGGGGTCTACTAATAATGAAATTGAGAAGACCATGAAGGAGTGGCTAAGATATGCTAAGGATAGGGAAGGCGGGCGGAGGAAGAGAATGACAAAAAAACTGCAACAACAAAGAGAAGAAAATGAAAATGCTATGTAAAAAACATTTAGTAATAAATTGTAGTAATAAGTATATTTTATGTTCTTTTATTTTACGGTCTCTCTGAATTCTAGGAGACATGCTGTTTTTGGTCTTGTCATCTGTCTGTTTATCTAATCCCCTGAAAATAATTTTGAACAAATATCAATTATTATGACGTCATAATCGTCAGACTTCTTATTTTAATTTAAGGTTTATAGTTTGTGATGTTTTACCATGGTTATGTTTGCTGGGCTAATATTTGAAGATAAATTAATGGCTTGATTAATAATTGCTAGTTTTATTCTTGTGATATGTGAAGGAAACTTGTCGGTGGGCAACTTGAAGCCGATAAAAAAAAAGGCATTGAGCCACTATTGGCATTCTTAATTAATCCAACTGAACATGTAGATGATCCAACATTGGGCCAACAATGACAGTCATTGATCAAATAGAGGGCCAGCGTTAGTAGTAAGAAACAAGTAATTGGGCCAATGGAGGGCCAACAATAAGAGTAGGAAACAAAGTGATAGGCCAACTGAGAGCCAACTTAGATAGTAGAAAACAAGGCATTGGGCCAACGAAGGGCCAATGTTTATTGTAGAAAACCAGTCAGTGGGCCAACAGGGGGCCAACAATAAGAAGGGAGACCAGTTGTTGGGCCAACAGAGGGCCAACAATAGGAAGGAAAACCAGTCATTGGGCCAATGGAGGGCCAACGATAAGAGTAGGAAATCAGTCGTTGGGCCAACCATATACCAACCGTTGGCCCAACGTTGCCCCAATTAGCAAATTGACATTGGGCCAACGTTGGCATTATGTGTTGGGCCAACAAAGCAAATGTCATTGGCCCAACGTTGGGCCAACTACTGTCTGCTATCTGGGTATATTATATCTATTTTATATTTATTGTAACAATTACTGGTTTGACTACAATGGAAATAAGTCATAACGACTCATTGTTGTGCTATCCTTAACATAATGTTGATTGACATTGCTTTGTTTTTCATTCATACATTTATTTGTGTGTTTTAAAATATGTCATTGTCACGTAGAAGTACTTTTAATGTTGAAATAAATCTAATCTTCAATCTGGGCGCAGTACTGGGACTGTCTGTATAAGTATCCAATAATAAACCCATGTATAAGTCATCAACATTAACTTAAATGCCCTTTCTTTAGATAAAATCTAACGGATATTTGAAAGTGATAGTATAAAGTTTAATGCTTTAAACAAAATTTAATTATTTGAAGAGATAAAATCAGGGCATATTATGTTAATATCTGAACATTTCTATTTCACCATAAAATAACTGCTGAAGTGTTTATCAGTCTTACACACATTTGCTAAGTAGTCATGTTAAAGAATTACATAGTTCCGATCAATCAACAAAATACAAGGTCAAGTACAAACATAAACGTATCATTGTTCAAGGGCAAAATTTATCTTACATTGAACCATATTTCTTTTAAATTGCCTTGGACCACTGTAATATATTGACTCGCTATTGTTCAGCTAGTATTAGCCACTAGCTGATAAGCCCCGCCTAAATTCACCTGGCATCACCTCTCTGTAGTATCATTAGTAAACAGATTTAGAAACCGAACAGCTGCGTTGTTTAATCTCTCTACCCATGCTTGTCCAGTAACTATGTTATAGCAGACATTACAACCACATTCCTTGTGAATTAATGTTGACCATGTTTTTCGCCTCTATTACTTATGCATTACTACAGAACCCATTTCTCGTGCATAACCATGAACCCTTATTACCATTTTCTCGTTCAAAACATCGGGCCAAATTTCTCGTGAAAATTACCATGAATCCCAATTATCGTGGATTACCGTGTATCCCAATTCTCGTGGATTTCCATGAACCATTATTCTCGTGGATAACCATGAACCATAATACTCTTGGATAACCATGAACCATAACCATAAACCCCAATTTTCGTGCATGATCATGAATCCGAATTCTCGTGGATTGCCATGAACCATAATTATCGTGGATAATTATGAAACACCACCACCACCACCAACAACAACACTCATAAAAACATAAATATTTAAAACAACCACTCTAAAATGATTGTTATGGTTTCGGTTTCAATATAAATGTGTCACCAACTTTAATATATCACAACGTTAGACTTTAATCAGAGAGATAAAATAATCATTACCATTACTTTCAATATAACCTTTTATCATATGTATAACAAAATCCAGGGTTATACGTAATTTTTAACAAAAGACACACGAATGTCGAACTATTTAAAAGAATATTTATGGAATTACCAATACTGTTGTTAATTAATGACTGGGTAGAAACGAAAAAAAAAATCAAATCCGCGAGATGTTAAGTTGCGGGATCCCCGACAGCAGTCACAATCAAGTAATTCATACAACTATAGCGACCTTTTTTTGAAAATAGCACACCCTGACTGAATTCAATTAGTTAAGCTTACATTTTTGACATTTTTACTAATAAATGTTTTTATCAAAATTTCAAAAATAATTTACATTAAAAATTGAACGATTTCAAATATTGATGCAACGGCGGATTTAAATGTGTTAATAAGTCTGATAAATGTATGTTAGCTTTTATATAAAAATGATTAAGTTAGGATCATTGTTAATGATCGATGATGTTTTTATTGGCATCAGAATGATTCATTTCCATTCTGTTATTTAAATTATGATTTAATTTATGATTAATTTAATGACCAATTTTCTTTGAATTCATTGTTGTTTACATACGATATTGCAATGAAATAATTTCTTAAAGACGAACCGACCTATTGTTATGTTTTATTTTCAAAACGGAAAATTTTACATCATAGTTTGTTTTGCATGCAATTGTCTATAAATATAGCGTGATTATCTCGATAAAAATCTTATCTAAAATAATAAAAAAAAATTCTCATACGAAAGACACAAAACCTAGTTATTCTTTTTTTCTTACTTTTAAACATGCTAAGTAAAGTATATTATGTATGACCTGAAAGTAATGTTTAATTTTATAGTAGTTTATGTGAGTGCTTAATTTGTTATATATGATATTATGTATCTAAATGTCTAATTTTATTGTCGATGCCAATAAAGAATACTCTTACGCTCTTAAAGACTTAATAACCTCACTTTTAAAATTTGAAATTTAGTTCTTCTCAGGCTCTGTAGTGTGGACTCAAAATTTCGAAAATCTATTAAGCTACAAATTAGTGACATTGTTTATTCTGGTAGATCTTATCTTGATAATTAAGCTTGCCATGACAAAACCAGCATTGCGTCCAGCATGGATCAAGATAATTCCGCGTATCCGCACAGTCTGATCATGATCCATAATGTTCGCTATCAGTTTCATTTCTTGCTATAGGGTTTGTATGCAAACAGCAATGATCCTGATTAGACTGCGCAGGCAGGTCTGAATCCATGCTGGTCGCAAATGTACTACATTTTGTATGTTGATTTTGTCATGGAGCGGCTCATATACTGGTATTATGAATTTTAGCTACTCATAAATGAGTTGGATCTGTGTGTATATTAAAAAAATGAATTACATATGTGTGTTTGTCTTAGTGGACTTTAAAGTTTCAGTAAGTATTAAGAGGGAAGCAAATACTAAATAGTCCTTACGAAAACTTGCAACATAAATCAATGCTGGCAATAGGTCTGTAAAGATTTTAGATGTAATGTATATTTTGTCTTGTAAATGTGTTTATTTTAGGGTTTAATTCATGGATAAAATGTTTAAATGTAATGCTTATGTGTATATTAAAGGTATAGATGTAAATGTTATGTTAATATGTATATTATAGGTAAAAAAATTAAATTAATGCTAATGTGTATATTATAGATATTATTAAAAGGAAGTTACATCATTTACAATATAACTGAACAGCAGAATGTGTTAAATGTTTGCTTATTACATGATAGATGTATTTAATTTAGAAATACATGTACTTTTTACTTCAGTTTTTCACAAGGAATGTAAGATCCCTACAACAGTAGGTAAGGTTAAGGTAAGACATTACAGTTATTTCGCAAGGGATTACTCCTAACTAAATAAACAAGTTTGAAATAGAAGACAAATACAGTATTTGATTTCCTGGTAACATACATTAAACTGGCAACACAAGATACCAAGTATTATTTAAAAATTCGAAACGCAGGCAATGAATTCAATTTCTTATTAAAATGCCAAACATTTAGCGTGTGTTTTAAGAAAGGGAATTATCATCGCAAAAACATGAACTATAAATATTTTTAGCGAACAAGTAATTGTACATGTTTACTTTTGAGATTTAAAACATATTTAAACAAATATCAATTATTGAAAGTTATGCATTGTACAAGAATACGTTTTAGCTGACGTAGAAATGTTGGAAATTAGGAAGGAAACAAAACAATATACCATTACGGAAGTTATTTTCAATTCATGCTTAAAGTATTTCACATCTTATTTGTTTTTTCAAAACTTTTTTATTTAAAATAAATATAGTAAAATATTAATGTTTATAGGACCAATCAAAACTAAACTGGTTTACCACATTTTTCTATAAATAGCATATAATGGAGTTTAGAAACATGATACCCAAATAGTGTCATGTGGGTATTAAACCCGTTAGATATAATTAGTGTGTCATTGAAAAACATAGTTTAAATTACAAAATGTTATTCGTCAGAGCTAAATCAGAAAATATAGGGTATTTATCTAAGACACATGACCATGATGTAACAAATTGGCACTCATTCCATTTTTATCTCTCCATGCAACAAATAAGGCAACATATACCTTAAATCTGTGTTTGTGATTTTTACGACAAATATTGTAATCATATTCTGTTTTTAAAATGCTAATTTTTTCACCCAAGATTTGTATGTACGTTTTAGATCTAATTTTTACATCAACGTGCACAATTTTTTCGAGTAAATTAATAACTCAAGCCAATCTTGTTTCACTAAAACAAAAATAAGTAAATAAATGAAACGGTGCGTTTTTGTTGTATGAAGAGTATGGAAGAGTAAAAACAAAAAGGGAAAATACTCTCCAACCCAGCCAAAGAATCTCAGTATAGCATCACTGATGTTGTTCCGGCCTGAAATACTGCATGACCAAGTAAATATCACCATAGTTACAACATTTTAGATTTGATAGTGACGAGAAAAGTATTTCCCACTCAAAACCCATAATAAACACTTAAAATTGTCCAGTTCGAGTGTTGCCAAAATGAATATAGTTCTGTAACAAATTGATAAATATGAGACATTTCCTTTATTTTTTCATATCAAGTTGTTTTATTTTCTTAATGATGATTTTGAAGTCATTGCATTGCTGTACTAACAATGTGTATATATTTCTTACTGCTAGTCTAGATTAACTTACTGATCAAAATTACTTTTTGTTCAATCACATTGCAGTATTTTTCAAATTTCTGCTAGATCTAACTTTGGTTAATGTTTACTAAAACATTTACTTAATCAGTTGTCTAACCAGTCTTACTATAAGCAGTTAAGAAAATGCTTTGTTTTTGGTTGAAAATATTGTGGATCATTAAATAGGTTAATGGTTTATAAAACGCGGCACTCTTGGCCAATTTATTTTTGTTAATACCTATTAAACACTAACCTATACATCTTTTTCTCTTCGTTTTGCTTTAAGTAACTTTCTTAACTTACTAATTAACACTCATAAGTTAGTATTTTAAGGACTCCCTGACCTTGAGTGGTTTTGTACTAGTATGGTTGTACTACGCTCTACTTACATCAATTGTCAACGAACGCATTGACACCGCCCACGTTGTGCATTCTTCCGCATGTTAGTTAATTTGAAACGATCAATAAAGCCTTTATATAATGGTAATGGTTAACCACACAATATTTATCCATTATAAGCTATTCCATCTCCTTTAGAAAAAAATCTTGACCACCTTTTTCGGGTTTGGGTGGGGTAAAAAAACTTTTTAAAAAACTAAAATTTTCAAAAGTATTTTTAGAATAAAAACACATTAAATTGATAATGAAAAGCAAAAAATTTATATTTGACCCCCGGGGGATTACCGGACAATTAAAAATACTGAAAAAGTAAGTGTGATTGTCCTTTTAAAAAACCTTTTTTTAAAACCCCTTTGAAAAAAAGGGACGTTTATGGGGAAAGCCCCCTGGGGGCGGCGGCGGGGGGCGGGGGGCGTCCTTTTTTTCCGGAGCCCTATCTTCTACATGTATGGAGGGGGTTTTTTAAAGAACTTTTAAAAGAAAAGTTCCCACTATGGGGGACATGACGGGGGCCATTAACCAGGGGTTTCTAGTCAAAGGTCAAGGTCACAAATTAGAGCTTTATTGAAAAAAGCTTTCCGGAGCAAAACTTCCACATGTATAGAGGGATTTCAATATTACTTGGCACAAATTTCACCATTGTGAGGCGGAGTATCGCGTGCAAGATTCAGGTCTTGCGGCCAAGGTCAACGGTCACCACATAAGGTCAAAGTTCAGATGAAAATATGAAGATGTGTATATGGACCATTTAGTCATCATTTATTGAGGATTGTAACACAAATGGTCATTATCAAGACTATGGCTGTGATACATATAATTTAGGTCAATATATGCAAGTCAAGGTCAGCTAAAGATGATGAAATATCCAGATTTTGTAAATAAAATTTAATCAAAGGGCGACAACAAAGTTAGTTACTTTTTCATAAATGACTTACAATAATGTTGAATCACCCTTAAGATATGCTGCCTGCTTTTTAAATTTGTCTTTTGACGTCTTATCTGTGATACGCAGGCTTCATAACCTCTGATCCCCTTTGAAAATTCCATTTTATTTAGTTCCGCCCATTGTTTTCTCGTTTAGGGCACACGCTTTTTATTACCTGGGGACCATACGCCGCTTTTCATGGAATGGCACGGAAGTGTCACATTGAAGGTTCCATGATAACCGCCGTATGAACACATCTGCGGATGTTTTTAAATTCAAAATTTTACTATTTCATGTTTAAATGTTTAATTCTGCTTAAGCCGGTGCTAGGGGGCGTGGACGGTAACTTGCACTTTCCAGTACCGTCCATGAACAGGCTCAATCAAACCGAGCCTGCAACATTTTCAATTTTGCCGTGTTGGGCTTTCTTAAGGGATTCTGTATTTATCTATTTTACACAATTACTCCCCTTGATCTACTTTCACTTTCAATTCTAAAAATAGAACTTAATCAAAGGGCATAAAATAATCCTCTTTCTTGGACTTGAATATGTTCTAAAGAATGTAACATTTTTTTACACATGTTTCATTCATTGGTCAAGATTCTTAACTGTGATAACTATGGTGTTCTGTAGACTTGGTATTTGTTCATAAAGATCATACAGTAATTACCTTATCAAATGTAAATACTTTCTCATAGAAATTTAATTATATTTTAATTTTCAAAGTAAATATCAGTTCAGCTCTCCTACATGTATGGTGGGATTTTCATGAAACTTCATAGAAATGTTCACCACTATGAGGAGCATGTCCGCGCACATGAACCAGGTCTCTAGGTCAAAGGTCAAGGTCACACTTGGAGCTCATTGAAAAATGCTTGTCCGGAGCAAAACTTCCACATGTATAAGGGATTTCAATATTACTTGGGCACAAATGTTCACCATTGTGAGCGAGTGTCGCGCGCAAGATTTAGTCCTTGCGGCCAAGGTCAAGGTCACACATAGAGGTCAAAGTTTAGATAAAAATATGAAGATGTGTATAGGGACGATTTAATCATCATTTATTGAGGGATTGTAACACAAATGGTCATTATCATGACTACTGCTGTGACACATGTACTTTAGGTCAATATATGCAAGTCAAGGTCACTAAAGATGGTGAAATATCCAGATTTTGTCTGGAGCATATCTCTACATGTATGAAGAATTTTTATAATACTTTATGGAAATGTTCACCACCATGATATGTATTGCTCCATGCATGATCCAGGTCTCCAGGTCAAAGGTCAAGGTCACACTTAGAGCTCATTGAAAAACGCTTGTCCGGAGCGAAACTTCTACATTCATAGGGGGATTTCAATATAACTTGGCACAAATGTTTACCATTGTGAGGCTGAGTGTCGCACGCAAAATTCAGATCCTGCGACCAAAGTCAATGTTACACATAGAAGGTCAAAGTTCAGATAAAAATTTGAAGATGTGTATAGGGACCATTTAGTCATCATTTTATTGATGGATTGTAGCACAAATGGTAACTATCCATGACTACAGGTGTGACACATTTAATTTAGGTTAATATTTGCAAGGTTAAGGTCACTGGAGATGAATTAAATATCCAGATGTTGTCCGGAGCATATTTTCTACATGCATGGAGGAATTTTAATGTTACTTTATAGAATTGTTCACAACCATGAGACGTAGTGCCCTGCACATGAACCAAGTCTCTAGGTCAAAGGTGAACGTCACAGTTAGAGCATAGAGGGATTTCAATATAATTTGGCACAAATGTTCATCATTGTGAGGCTGAGTGCCGTGCATAAAATTCAGGTCCCTGCGACCAAGGTCAAGGTCACACATCCTGTGCATATCTTCCCTACTGATTTGTTTTAAGGTTCAGTTAACAACACAGTGCCAAGAATAAAAACTTGCTTGCTAGATAACACTTATCCATAATGCCCCAATCTCCATCTAAAGCTTTCGTAAACGGGCGTATTTTGTGACTATGGCACCCTTGTTTACTATGGTGACCTCATTTATATGTGACATAGTTACAAACAATTAAACAAGTAACATGTAGTGTTAAATTTGTAGCGGATGATATCTCCGCAATGAAAATGACATAGAAACCAAAAGAAGCACATACTTTATGAACAATAGGTATCAATTCTTCATATATAGGACAAGTGAAGATGATTGGTCATCTAAGATGAATATTATTCGTTACATTTATTACACCCTTTCTTGTCATATAACGGTATGATATTTAACAATGGTTTGAACTAGTACTGAAATTATTGTAATGAGAAAAGGAAATTAAACATGATATAACTCTTAGTAAGAACGACTAGAAAGTAACAAACAAATGACAAATAAATTAGTAAATAAATTAAATTAAAATGACTTGGGCTATAAAGGGAAAGGGTTTTTAAAAAAAAACTTATGTTGAAGTATTTGGGATTTAAAATTAGCAACAAAAAAGAAAAATAAAAAACCCCTTTCGAAAAGCCCCAAAAACAGCAAAATTTGGAAAAAAGTTTGGGGGCTCGGGTTTTATTGAGCCTGTTTTTAAAGGGACGGACGTGAAAAGCAAACTCCCTCCCCGCCCACCCACCGGCTTAAACAAAAATTTAACATTCAAAAAACCGCGGAAAAATTTTTCTAAAGGAAATTTTTTATAATGTGAGATACATAATCCGATATTACATATACATATATTTATATAGCAGATAATAAAATGTTCTAGAATAAAATATTATAATTTATCATATAAATGCTCATACCATATCATTTAGAACTTTATCAACATTTTTATTTCAAAGCAAATTGTATTAGAATAACCAAATGATACATTTCTTTTGTTTTTATCAATTTTTTAGTACACGACTTTCTTATCTCTGAGTGTTCTAGGTTTATTCAGTATTGTAATGCTTTTAATGTTGAATACTAAATAAAGATACGATTTGTGCTATAGAGATGTTACAATTGACATAAATGTATGCAGATAGTACATATATTTGTTATTCAAAACAACGAGGACAAATACTATATAGTATTGTAATGTATTTGTAAAACTTGACCAACAAAGAAAACCTAGGGTTAGGGTTTATTTGTGTAATTATAACACATGATGCATAATGGCATCAGTAAACATCAGTAAGAGCTAATTATTTAATGTGAAGTTAGTACCAACTTTAGCGTTTATAATTTTAACAAATACTGAAGATTATGATTGTGTTTATATAAAGTGGAATGAAAAAAAAATCAAATACGCATCAAGGTTATTGTATACGTTTTATACCAGTATAAATAGTAGACCTATATACTTTTTATCAATAATATGGTACAAAATAATAATAATAATAATAATAATAATAATAATAATAATAATGATATGTTATATACAAAGAGCAAGACAATATTAAAAATATGTAAAATGTACGAAAATTCCCAGAAAGATATAATTCAAGTGTTACCACCATTTAATTGGTGAACGATAAAAGTTTAAATGAATACATATGTTGCAGGATTAAAAAATAAATATTGATACAATTATATTTTATTATGTTTATTATGTCAAACTTAATACTAATACATTTACATCTGAATATGTAGCAAAATATTACATTCCAACTTAACCATTACAGTTTCTGGAATCATAACTATACATAAAAACATTTTATTATTGAAATAAATATAAGATACAATGTATAAAATAAAATTTCCAAAAAGCAATTTGGTTTTATGATATATAACAAAACACTAAAATATTTTGCACATTGTTTTGTTGACCATCAAAATAGATATTCTATTTACATATTCATAAGTTCATTTTTTTCAGTAATGGGTTGTGTTTAATCTTACATCGCAACAGAAGAAGATACTGACTTATATTAGATACTTAAGTATACATAAACTGTTGAAAGAAGTTATATTGGTGAGTTCAGATAGAAAGACAAAGGGAGATAAAAAAAACAAAACAACAACAACAAAAAGAAACCAGAACAAATGACCAGTGATTTAATCTTTATCGATAATTGAAAATTAATTGTTAGTCGAAGCGTTCCAATTCGATCTTTCAATATATATGTGATCTGCAAAGATACATTTTCTGTAAGTCAGTATACTATTTAATAGTACATGGCTGTACATTGATATACAGCTTATCGACAAAGCTCTTATGTGTTGATAAAGAAGAAGTGACTTTGTCCACAAACACAAAGATGTGAAGGTATGATAGATAAAAGATTTTCGGCCAATGAGCAGAAGTTGTTCTTCGGAAGTGTGTGTAAAATCCGGTGGGTTCTTTTACCAGAGTAAGAATATTACGGTACATTTTGAATGAAAGGGGAGATATTCTGTTTAAATAGCGATACAGTTTTAGAGTTTAAGATTGTTAGAGGTTCCAGTTGTGGACGGCAAAAAGGAGTTAAAATATAGCGTGGTACGAACTCTGGGAGGTCTAAAACAGTTTTGATGTCGTCAATTGTGTGATGTTTCATTCGTTGGAACTATAAGCATTTCAGAATGATAAAGCGGACCCAGATTTTAGTCATTTTATAAAAAAGAACGAGTTTGTGTTTTGGTTTAATAATGAAATTCAAGGGATTCCCATCCTATATAGGACATGGGTTTGGTAATTTGCACCTTTTGTTGTGCACAATCCTCTAAACAGCTGTCTCAACCAGAACATTTTTCGATAGTTTCCTTCTCGTAGGCGGTACAGTTATCGAAGGTTTCACCACCATATTCATATAGTGGACAACTTAAGAAAACATTTTTTTCCAGTAAGAGACGATCAAGCTTCGCATTACTGTGATACGTGTATATAATAAATGTGAATGCTCCGTCTGAGATAGGAAGAGGAAAATACGCCGAGATGGCTGTGATGTGTAATTTCCTTAAGAGCTTCCCTATTCATCTCTAGGTTTGGATAGGTTTAATTGCCAGTTTTGCGAGTCAAGGTAAGATATTCTGTTTTCTTCCACCCAGCTGGAGAGGGTACAGCGATCAGAGTTAAGAGTGGTAGTATAGTAAAAGTAGGATCATTGAAAATCAGCTATAGCTGCCAGCAAAGAGGCGAACATTGGCTTGTATATGAATAGCTTTTCATTAAATTACGCAAGCGTACTATTGCATGATAATGTGTTTCTGATGGTATGATAGTTATCAAGGGTTTATTAATCAACGATTCTTCTTAATGATTTTTGTAGTACATGTATTTTTTAACTTGTAAACGTCTACAAATTGAGCCGTTGATTATTTTGCATGTCATTTGAACGAATAATGGATAACCGTAGCCATGCAGTCCGAAAATTTCAGAACGATTTCACAGAGTAAATGAATTGACGATAAGTCATGTTGCGTGTAATGAATATGAACATACATGAAACTTAGTTGCACGAGTCCTGCAATAAGATTGAAGTTATATGCGAGCCTTCCTGAGAGCTAGCAGTTAAATTTTGTATACTATTTTATTCAAACGAGTGCAATAAATTCACATTATGAACTTGACACGAAATTTTAACTATAATCTATTTAATCATAAATACCCAAATCATTAGAAGGAAACCGTATTGAAATAAGAGTCATTTTTCATTGCATGCTAGGCAACGTATAGTATCCCTTATAACCCGCTAACCATTTATGCGCGTGCCCTTAATTCACTATGTTTGAGATAATTATACTGGCTAATGAGCCCACGTCAAAATATATGCACTTGCGTGCATATTTACCGATATTTATGGAGTCAGCCGAAATCCGGAACGGGGTGAGTGATTTAAAATGAGATTCTAGCGTTAGTACAATTTCAGAGATGTAGTTTAATTATATCTATCTACCAAAATTTTCATAGGATACTTCGTAAAATATGAGTTTACAGGAAAGGGTCCAAATCAATAATGTTGTTAGAACGTTTTGCCCAATCCTTTTGTATGGTACACTTGAATAATTATGTTGAGTAAAATTGTCCGAAAATTATGAATTATTGTTCGTGTAATAGTTACGCTGTTAACTATAACATATTACTAAACTAACCCAATAAAAAGTTAAAGTTAAGGAATTCACCAGTTTCAATGTAAATTCATCTCGAAGTCACATCTGTAACTCCATAATGAACTATGTTAAATCGCTTACAATATTAGTCCTTTTTTCATCACCCTCAATTGATCGTTGAAGATGCTAATTTACCCATAAGGTCAGTGCTGAACCTGAATACCTTTCACGAGACGCTTTATTTTTAACTGTTATAATTCAAGAGTGTACCAGCGTGTAGCTAAGCGAATATCTTGTCTACTGTTACATAGATAACACGGTATTGTCATAAGCACGTCACGTGGTCGATTCCTAACTCTAAATATTGAAATAAATATTGGCTGCCTTTTATTCTCGATTCTATTCTTCCCATTCCTAGCTAATTGTTAAGACGCGCAAAATAGACATCTCTAATATATCTACCTCTGGTAATCCACTCACCTTATGCACACTCACTCATATACTATATTTAGTTGCATTGCACCCTGCAATATTAAATATTCTCTTCCTTGCCTGAGAAATATCAAAAAATGTGAGACACTCCTGTTTGCAACGCGATTATTAATTGCAATGTGATAGATCATATGTGATCAAAAACAGGATTTACAGCATGCAGGACAGACAAGAGATATTCTAACAAAATTTAACAGTGAAATGACGTTACAGAGTTGGTCGGAAACACCTACCAGAGCCCTTAGATACCATCTATTCGTGTATTTTAAGATCAAACATACTTATGTCTAGAGGATATGTATTCTGATAACAGAAGGATCCAGATTTCACAGTCATAACCGTGTTAAATGTTTTTAGTGTTTTGCTTCTATCCCTAAAATAAATCTCTAATGCTAATTGAGTTGTGAAGTATTAATTCGCACTTCGTAGACTATCCCTATATCAACATTGCTGTATATAGAAATAAAAGAATTTTAAAGAAGAGCACTTTCTCATGCACGGCAAAACCTACCACGGTAAAGTACACTTAAAACTTAAATAGTTGTAAGGACCAGATTTAGTAATATAAACGAATTACTCTTGTCGTCTTTATGTATTGTTGTGTAGGCAAAGTCTCTGTAGATTACGTTGACTAACTTCAGATGCTATCTCCAGTATTTTTGTTCGGTAATTAAGAATTAAGATCAACACATGCGTGAGTAAGCAGTAAAAATATCATCCACCTCGTAATAATACTGTGACCCTCGTTCTACTCTGCGGTGAATTCAGTGATTGTCCTATATTTTTTACTTTACCCACAAACCATGTGTGAACTAAGTTTCATATACCAATAAATTACCGCAACAAACTATCAGTTATTAACAGATTAGTATAAAATAACATGAATCATTTTGTAGCGCAGCAAGTGCATATCTAAAATCCAATTTATATCAAAAGTTATATTCAAACACCAAGTAATACAATTATAAGTATGAGCCCTAATATTGGGCACTATACATCAACACTGATAACACAAAATTGACAAGATAGCGTTATGGTGATATTTCTACTATACCTTAAGACACACCTAATTCAAGTACAGAAGGATCCTTTGAAACAAAACCCTTTTACCGGTATTGTTTACGAGTTATGGAGACTTTTTAAATAACTTAACATTTACTAGTAGAGAGGCGCTTTCTTACAGAAATGTGAAAGCTACTATGAATAGTTCTACATTCGCTAGTCCATTGATATATAGACATATTGTAGATAATCCATTATGAAAAATGTATTTCCTTTTGAAATATTATCTAGATCTACACCAAAACAATTAAATGAGATGCATATCAAGCTAAACAATACATGGACGATACAGCCCATAAATTTATCCCCTTAGTCCCATTCTAGTTTTCTAAAAGTTGCAATTCTTCATTTTCCCTTAATAAAAGATATAATATTTGCTTTAGCTTGTCATAATATAATAATTACACCTCTCAACCGTTCTAATGGTTTTGTAATTTCATTAGACTTGGAAAAATACCATATAGCAGGACGATATACGACTTTATATTGGAGTCGATCAATGAGAATGGCTAAATTTAGTCTAATGAACTATCGCGCTAGACCCATATCCCTTATACCAGACAAACAACTCCAAACAACACCCTTTAAATTATCAAGAGTGACCCGAGAGACACACAAAGCAATTGGCCTAAGAGAAATCAAATATAATAAGCAAGAGCAAAAAAAGTTGCCTCTCTGCTTAAAAACGATACTTTGCCAACCCGCGTATTATAAACAATTGTATCTCTTGCCCACTATGATTTCATGTGGTTATTATTTAAAAAAATCATTTATAGTAATAAATCATGTTGATGAAGTTTTAGAAACAATACCAATACCTTACATGGGAGACATTTTTCACTGCGAAATGCCTCCCCAGTGTGAACTACATGCACCATGGGCTAAGTTGTTCATCACTAGGAATACCGGATATCATGTAGCGCAAAGTCCCCATTCTGCCTTCTCTTCATTAGTGATAGGAAAAGAATAACAATATATCACGGCATATTGACCCACTAGTACCTACACTAGTTACCCAATAGTGCAAAAAATGTGTTGCTTCCTAATTTCTAATTTGATTTTAACATACCATCTTTCAATCAATTTTTGGATACTTGAAGCTACAATAACCTTATGGTGTAGAACGGAGCAAATTTAAGGATAACGACCTGTACTATACGTACCATTAAATAAAACAATCTTTATAATATATCAACAAATATATAGAAAACTGACTTTCCAAAAAATACATGAGTGATGTACTTATTATTATCCTAGCCGTTGAAAAACAGGACGATATCATGGGACACGCGCCATGGGCGGCGTGCGTCGGCGTGTTCAGCAGGCTGATCGGACAGTCCTAATCATATTGTCAATCGTAAGCATAGTCTCCTCATGTTTAATTAGCCAGATTCTAAGTAAGACACACATAAAATAACGAAATAATGTCTATCCTACACCGAAACCCAATCCCATGAGGCAGCTAATGATAAGTGCGGCAGAACTACAGAACCGAATCCTCATATGAGGTCAAAAATGTCGAGTCACACTAATAAATGAGCTCAGGTATTCTGAAATAAAATGCTTGTCGTGGAGAGCCAAAACTTCTCCCCACTGTAGTCTCATAGAGGGAATTTCAACTCTAATTACCTCTAGGCACCAAATGAGATTCAAAAGCGACGATTTGTGAGCGGTACAGTGTCTCGTGATTGGCACTAAGATTGTCAGAGTCTACTTGCGGACACAACTTCATTGTCACATCATTTAGACAGGGTCAAATAGTTCGAGATAGAGAAAAAAAGTATTGAGAGAAGAAGTTAGTATATTCAAGGAGTGAGACGTCAATGTAGTGTGCCTGTACATATTGATGCGAGGGTTATGAATCAGAAACACAAAAGATTAAGGTACATTATAAAGACTATGCCCGCTTTTGATACTATATTAACTTCCCTATTGAATTAGAGTGCAATTTCTAATTATACAAGTGTAAACAAGTCCATAAAGAATGATTATGCAATACTAATTCTATGAATTAGTTGTAAAACCTATATGTAAATTTAACACAAGTTATATATTGAACTACACAATTACTCCCTTGATCTACTTTCACTTTCAATTCTAAAAATAGAATTTAATCAAAGGGCATAAAATAATCCTCTTTCTTGGACTTGAGTATGTTCTAAAGAATGTAACATTTATTTACACATGTTTCATTCATTGGTCAAGATTCTTAACTGTGATAACTATGGTGTTCTGTAGACTTGGTATTTGTTCATAAAGATCATACAGTAATTACCTTATCAAATGTAAATACTTTCTCATAGAAATTTAATTATATTTTAATTTTCAAGTAAATATCAGTTCAGCTCTCCTACATGTATGGAGGGATTTTCATGAAACTTCATATAAATGTTCACCACTATGAGGAGCAGTGTCG